TGATGCGCTCATGGCGAATGCAATCATTTGGCAGCTTAAAATTTGGCATTGCAACAACCGGGAAATGCGTTGTGATTTCTAAAAATGTCTTGGATTAGAGACCAAAATTCAAGGGGAATTTTGAGAAAACAGGACGGTGGCAATGATCGGGCAATCGTGGAGTGGATGATTTCACAGGCAAGTGCCCACACTAAATTGCGTCGCGTGTATTACTTTGCTAACGCAGTATATCTTTTACTCATGGAGCTGTGGACACGCTCGGCCCGCAACCAGCTCTGACAAGTTTCGCCTACCCGTTTCCACTCTTTTGCATTTTTCCAGGTGATGATGCAGTAAAGAAAAATTTCAAGAAAATTTACATCCAAACTTCTTCTATCGTGTGGGTAATAACAAAATTGGCATAATTGGAGCTAACTATCTCTAAATTAATCGCAAGCAGAAGCGTTGTGTAGTACCCCATGGATAATCTTCTCGACATTTCGTAAAATTGTCCCGACATCAGTACACCCATTTCCACCAAATCCATAACACTTCACCCTGTGATTCCTCTCACACGGGCACCTATGGGTTTTTATCCACGCCGTGAAGTCATCTTCTCCACACCATCTGGTTATCCATTTCTTTTCAGTTCTACCAACAGCTTACCCACCCGTTATATTTGTTTTTGCCGTACGTAGCCTCTACGCATGGGAAAGGCTCAGGTAAGTTTCCGCCTGTCCCGATAACTCAGTTTGTTTGAGTGTCCACCTTCTGATTCATTCATCAGTTGCGAGCTGCATTTGAGTCGTTTCATTAACTTGCCGTTTACCTCTGACTGGGATGTCCCATGGCATGTGGCAGCAGCCATGGTTAAGCTCGGATGACGTCAGAGGGTAGAACTGAACGTGCCGAGTTTTGTGGCACGTAAAGTTTTTCTTCCGCAGAATTCTGCCGATGGTCCGGATTTCTATGATCGAACGGTGAGGCGGCGCTCACGCAACGAGCACTGCTTAGCGCTGATACCGATCTCAGGCGTACTTGATATCAAAAGATTCGACCAAATCATAAAGATCAATGAATGCTTCATTTAATCTGCAAATAAACTCCGCGTTTTCCGTCAACAATTGCAAACATAACGTGCCTGGGGTTAATTATGATGAAGAGAAACGCAAGCAGTAAGATCGTGTAATATTTACTTGAGGCATCTAAATAGCATTTCGTAAATTTTTTGCCCATACTTGTGTCCATACTCGTGGCTTTTTAAGACTTGAACAAGCCGTAACGGTCACCCACCCCGTATCGGTGCTCACGGGTTTATCAAACCCATGACGTTTCCTATTGTTGCAGTCCCGTTTTCAGAACTGTCTGCCAGAAAGTGATCGGTTTTTAATGCATTTTGCCATGTAGAAAATAACAGCAAGGAACGCATAAGAATGCATTTTACTTGACCGATTCCTTCCCTTCTGTATGATTTGTTAGCTTTCACCTTGACATGCCGTGGAAACTTCGTAATCTGTTCCGTCAACAGAGGAAACATTATCTGGCCTGTTTACGCGCACACTTATGTATCGTGGTCAGATGCTGTCATAACACTACAAATATTTCATCCATTTTGTTCCATGTTCGGCAACAAACTGCCCCGGAGAAATACCTGCAAATGAAACCAGGTCCAATTTGAAGTAAGATACAAAGTCGCATGCCTCCGTTGCGATCAATTATTGTCTGTGATAAGCTGAAAAGTGAGTGGTTATACGCAAAAACATCACGTGACCTACTGTGATCTGGTTTGACCTGAGCTTGTAAAAAGGGAATTCCTTGCTACGCATGGACGACAAACGTTACATAGTTTAGAAATAAATTGGCGATAAAGAAACCTAGTGCCGGCATCTTCGCTTTTCATGTGTACTTCCATCTAATAGTTTTGGAAAATTTGTAGAAATCAGTATTTCATCTAGCTTAGCTCAACCAGCTAGGAAATATAAGGAGTAAGATGTATTAGAATGAAAGCTGAATAACGTCTGTACAGGCATTTACACTCATTCCAGCAATGGTCGCGTATTCGGAAGCGATCTTGTACAACTGAAGCGAAATTTTTCGCGAATAAGGATGAAATCTTTAACTCGATGTTCACCCTACCATTCTTTTAATTTGTCCATTTTGGCACCGATGGGGTCACCAAAAGAGAATAACATTAGAAGTCACCGCATCGCTTAATGTTTCTACTTCATTCGAAATGTAAAACCCTAATGAACAACCATCTCAGCCAATGCTCTCCTGCTGTAACACGTGAATTCTAAACCGAAGCTAATGGCTTCAAACTTGAGCGGAACGAAAGTGTCAGCAGCTTTGAACGTGAGAAGTGTAAAGCCCATGCCGACCCATCAGTTTAATGAGGCCGGTGACGAAACCGAATCTGGTGTTCGGCATTTTCAGCTGCAGCTTGGTGAAACAAAACATTTTTGCATCTGCTGAACTTTTAAGAGACACAAAATCATCAGGGTTTTACGGAATGGTTATGATGGGGTGGACAACACTTATGACACAGCGAAGCCGAAGGCAGCAGTGCAAAATTTATGAGGCCAAAGCTTAAAGAGGCGCAGGCGGGAGAGGTCGGATTTTAAGCCAGGCCCATAATTCAAACATTGCGCGAAGTCGAAGTCGCAGCCAGGCGTTGAAAATGACACCACGCCGAACGACGTTTCATTCCTATGACTTCCCCTTTACAGCATAACCGAACACCAACTAACACTGTAAATGGCAAGAAAATGTCGATCGTAACTAACGCGCGTGTGCAAAACATTCTATTGTTGTCGCTTTACATGTAGCCGCCTCAAAATCCCCTGGTCCTCAGGGAAAATTGAAAGCATCTTAAGATGAAAAGGAGCCCCTGTTAGCACAAAAAATAGATAATCCCTCAAAACGCAAGCGTGACAAATGGTACAGAGTTTGCAGACGGTAGCAAACTTGATATCAGCCAAGTGCTGACTCAAACATGTTTCCGTTACGATTGTCAAAGATCTCAACAGAAGGGAGGGGTCCATTCAATCGTTATGAAATCCTACACCTTACATGGACTGTCCCACCTTGAAGGCATATTAAAAGAACGGACCCTTGCGGAACCCACGACCATTTACGTATGATAATAGTACCGGGCAATGCGACTGCAGCACTGCCAAAACATAACAAGGGCATATGTTTCAGTTATTCTCTAGTCCAAATTCTGTCAACGCTTTGTAGCAGCCCTACCCTTTCCCTTTCTTGGTGGCCCCGGAGTGTATCCCGAGTTCGCGACAACTGCGGTTGTCGCGACCGGCGTCGTCACGACGACGGCAGAAATTGCTGAGAACCGTTGCCAGTTGTTATGGGTTAAAGATACCACCTTTTAGCTGTTTAAACCCGCACATTGCGGACCTGCGAACAGAAAAGTGCTACCTCGACTGGTGTGAATGATGCCAGTACAAGTGGACGTCTGTGATTGCCACATTGAGCGCCAGGACTAGTTGCCGAAAAGCAAATCGGTGGAAGTTTGAACCCAGTGCATCACTGTAGGCCATGTGATACTCCGCTTTCCAAAGCCAGCGCGCGCTTCGAAAAAAGCTACTGTGGCAGACGTCATAGGGAGAAATAAAAAAACCAAACAAAGTCAAATGTTACGTGGAGCTCGCGGGAATTAGCCTTATGCTTGCATATATTTGTGTCGAAAGAGTGTTTCAAGCTTTCGTGGCATTTCTTACACCCAAAAATTGAGAACTAAGTGTGATGCAAACATTACAGAACACACACGTGGGAAAAAGCAGGGCAAATTCAATGCATTACATTCATAGTGGTGAGGAGGGAGTTTTATGAGATTTCTCCCGAATGAGTGACTACTTGAAATCGAAATGCTGAGCTAATCAAAAGGAGTTCGAGAAAACTGGTATCGCCGATCAATTCGGGCGCGTGTGATCCAATAATACGTGAAATGTACCAAAAAAGTTGTCAAGTCCCCTATAAGTACAGGGTTTGCATGAATCCTGACCAAGTAGGATCCCACATCCTAGGCGATGCGCGGGCACCTCGTACAACCGCCTAGCTACGGGCCTGCATATCAGATAGCCATATTTCAGGATCATAATTCCCTGTCTCAGGAAAACCAGGCCCTTTGCTGGATTTGGTGGCCCCGTTTTTGAATTGGAAGGATCTTGTTCTGAATTAGGAAACCCCTCTCTGTGTCAGAAATACCTTTTTTTAGCAAAGAACGCCTTGTTTTCGGATTGGGAGGCCCTTCGCTGGATCAAGAAGACACCTATATTTGTGTGAAAACTCTCATTCTGAATCTTGAATTGCCGATATTTCTTTATATGGATATTGGTGTTTTAACGGCGTGATCGGGGAACACGTGCCTTCGGGGTCCTTTGAATATAGGGCTGCCCCGGAGGCCGCTGCGAGGAGATCTCATTCTGTCCAGGAGTCCTGTCCTGGTCCTGTCCCCAACAGGATCTGCGGGCAACAATCAACGACTGAAATCCCGTCCCCCAACTCGAAATTCGTGCTGCTGTCCCTGAGTGCTTCCAACTGCGGGGACACCGAGGCGAGAACCACACTCAAAAGCGTCAATACCCACCCCGCGAGCATTCCTGTAGCAAATATCCCACGGGATACAGACCGCAAATGCCTGGGATTGCCCGGCCGGACCGCGCGGAGCCCGACCCCCTGACTAACACCGCGCTCACGGCTCCCGCCAGTCATTGCAGAGGCCGGCGACATCGATTAAACAGCGTTGAGAAACAGCGCCCGGCGGGCCGCACCGCCGCTAGCCGAATCGCCGCGGGGCGCGCGCCGCCCAATTCGCCGCTGCAGCGGCGCGCGCGCGCTCGCGGGCCGCGCCGTTTCTCCGCGGTGCGGGAAACGCCGGTTCTCAGCGGACGCCGGGTCAAGGCGCCGGCGGCCCGCGCCGATTTCTCGCCAGTCGGGCGACGAGGCGGCGTCGGCCGAGCGCCCGTCAATGCGACGCCGGGTCGCCGTGGAGAGGCAGCGCCGGCATGGCAGGTGGACGCTGGGCGCACGTGAGTGGTGCTGGGCGCCGAGGCGTCGGGCTGGAGTCCGCTGGCTCCGCTGGTGCGGCGCAGTGCGGCGCGGCACGCCACGCGCCGCCTGGCCGACCGCCTGACGCGCCGCTGTCAGGTGAATGAGGCGTCCCTGAGGAGCGGGCCGGGCGCCGCCTCAGAGCTGTGTGCGCTATGTTTCAGGCGGTGCTGCTCGCGGCTGTGTGGGGGCTGCTTCACGCCCGGGAACCAGGTCTCGGACACCAGGTGAGTGACAGCGGTGTAGGCGGAGGCGCCGCGCGGGCAGCGTTGCCGGTCAGGTTGGGTGATGGAAGGCGTAGCTGTGTTCGTGTCACTCGCTAACCGTAATCTAACTGCTATCAGTCGAGGTTCTAGTTAAGATGGTAGGCTCTGATGCCATATTCAGTGGAGGCCAGAAACAGTACGATCCAGCGACACCCCTCGGAGGGCATAAGGATATATCACATAATACGATCGTCAAAATGATCCACAGTGGAACCAAATTAAAATGAAATTGAACTCTTCGAAGCCATTCAGCCGAATTAAATACCTTTTGGAAAGGAATTATTGATCAAAGCAAAATCGAATATGTGGATACCGCTTAAGCACTACTGCGTTTTCACTTAGCAGGGGGTGCGGCCAACAAGCCTGCCAGTACGTTAGGTGTCTCATGCGTGTTTACGAACAAGATGACGGGAGGAGTGGGCCTTACTGCAGCAGGAAGGCGATATCCAGTTCATCATACTGACCTCACCTAGTCATCTTTTACAGCACCCTTCACATTTGGATTTCGCTGTAACTGAGTTGCATACGTACCAGTATTTTTTTTTTTACCGCAGATAACTGCGCGATTAGTAATTTATGTGCCCTTCTGATACTGCTCATGAAAGTAGTTAATAATACGACATTGGACTATCTTACCTGTCTCTTATCTTTCTGAGAGAAACGAATCACGATCAAAAAGCAAGTAAGCTTTCTGCCTCCGAATGTAGCTCTGATCACGACAGGTGCACTTCACAGCCATGTAAGGCAATAATGATGTGACGGATCAAAAGTTTGCATATTTGTCAGATATACATCTGGTTAGACATGCAATTCTGGTTGCATTTTGAAGTCAACAAACTGAGGAAATAGGGCATGAAATGACTGCATGGAATAAACCTCCGGCTCTTTTCATTTTACAATGGTTCAGTGGAGTCGTCCTACACCGAGATAACACTTTTAAGTCTCGCAGAGATATTGGGGCCTCGTAAACGTAAAATGGTGATCGACATTGGGTCACACATTTCGATTAACAAAGGTAGCCCATATTCGTCTTGGAATGTTCAACCTTCAGCCAGAATCAATAATTGAACACTTATTTAACATAGTTTTCGGCATGCGCGCTCGCAAGTCTTAGAAACAAAAACTTTAAAAATAGACGTTGCAGTCTCCGTAGGCCGCGCTTTGCTACCTTTAAGGCTAACACTGGGTGGTGGCCAACGCGTGGATGAAAATTACGACACGGCACGAGTACTTTTGAACGCTTTATGTCGTCAGTTTTCACGTTACGAAGGCAGCTCTCGTGTATGCTTTGCCCGTGCGATTTTTGGATTGACAATGGGATCGGAGTAGCATTCACCGCACCACAGACTGGTGCTGGAATCTGGTGGTGGAACTAAAAGAGTACCTATAGATTGAATCTCTATTTTCCGCGTTGCTGTAACTGATAATCTGTTCCGAGGGGACCCTCAGAATTATACAGGTGAAATATTTGCTCCATTTAATCTTTGAACGGTACGAATTCAGCTCGACAGATTTTCGGAAGCATCATTTAGCGACGGTCGTTCTCGCGCTACCGGCAGCCGCCACCTGGTGCCATCTGCAACAGCCAACGCCAGTCGGTTCTTACGAAAACTGTAATGTCAACCATAGTTGTTTCTGCTCCTATGATTGCGAGGGCAAATGCTAAATGGTTCTTCATGTAATTTGTTTCACAAGTCGATTCAGGAGAGGGATTGAAGTTCTCAGGCAAACATGGGCTTGCCTTTTCTTCATTTTTCATCTCATTTCGATCCAACATAGCGATCCACCCAGCCAAGGATCCACGTGGATAGAATACTAGGGGCACATTACCGATCCCGGCCATGGGCTCAGGGGCTTTTCTGTCCCAACACGGGATGCTTCACGGCTATCATTCTGGCGACAAGGGGTGACTCTGGAGGCTCGCTGACCTGGTCAGTGGGCCTCAGATTGATGCAGGAGCTCTCATTGATGCAAACAGATTCCTTATAGCCGCATGGAGCCCAATAATTGGCACATATATTCCATGTCGGTGCGATGGACCCTTAGCTGAAATAGGGCGAAGGGCCCCGTTCCGTACTGGAAGCCCTGACACAGGACCTTTCTATTGCCTCATTGTGGACTCCTCACAAGCACTCACATCTTCTTTCATTGTGCGAGGACCTCGATCAGTGCAAGAGGCCTTCTGGAATTTGGGGTCCAGCCCGTGTCAATGTGCAGCAAAAGTTCACCTGGCCGAGTCGGGACCCTTGCCGATACAGAACCCCCTGTTAGACACTATGCACCTCTGACTGACACAGGGACACTCATTGTTGCGGGAGCCCCACTCAATGCAAATCGCGTGCATTAGCCTCGTCCCTGCTTGGGAAATTGGCCCTAAGGGCTCAGGCCAACATGGAGCCGACCATTTGGTGGTCTCTGGCCGAAATAGGGGCCCGCATTGTCCCAGGGGTTCTCAGTCGGTGCGAGAGGACTGCTGACTGACATTTGAGGTCATGGCCCGTAGGGCCGTGATCCATAATGCGACCTACAGCCATTCCTTCGGGCCCTTCTACCTTCCAATCGAGCTCTTCTCATTGGTCTCGAAGGGCTCACCTGTCCCTATTCATCCCACCCGAACACTGACTCTGACCGACTCGGGGCCCATTGCTTACACATGACCCCTTGCTAGGCAATGTTGACCCCTGGCCGACACAGAGGCCCTCATCAAGTCAGGGGACTCCTACCAATGTAAACCGCGGGCCCCCGCTTGGGAAATGTGCCCTCAGGCCCGGACCGACACGAAGCCGAATGTTCGGTTCTAACGTTGTCTGACCGACATAGAGGCCCTCATTGACTGAGGGAACCCTCAACCGCCGCAAACGGCCCTATAACTGGCATTTAAAGGCCAGGTAGGCAGGGCTGGGACCCATAATACGACCTCCAGCCAGCTCTTCAGATCCTTAACTGTCGATACTGAGAGGCCCCTCGAGCCCCTCGGGATTAAAGGGAGCAGGGGCACGTGGTCCCGTCTCTCCCCCCTCCATGCCTGTGCTGCTGTCATGCTTCCAGTGTTTTATGGGTAACATTTTGAATGTAAATACAGTCAGCCGATATGTGCAATCTATATGCACGAAGAAACCGCCACAGCCACCCATTTTATCCTGGGAAGTGAGCATCGTCCACTCATACAACTCGCGTTTGGTCGTGTTTAATTCATTGCAGTCAGGCAACGGACCTTACAACTACGCCTTCTCATGGGGATCACTAGATGGCGCCGGAAACGAATACGGCCATCGGGAAGAAAAGGACGGAGATATAACGCGGGGATCTTATCAGGTCGCCCTACCCAATGGAAAAGTTCAAGTAAGTATCCAAGTATCCAAGTATCGAAGTTACTGGTCCCATGTAGATACACCGCATTTTTCAGAAGTGGGAAGGATGTTGCAACGCATCGCGTGTGGTTTTAGATGGACATTTTTCATTGCATACACTGTTGCTACCACTCTAATTCACCAGCAAACCACTGCCATGAATACTATCTCGATTTGTGTGCTGCGTACGGCGTTTTGAGCAAACAAAGCTCAGGTATCCAATGGTGGCGCAACATCGATGGAAATAGGGGAGGGGACGGGCAACCACTAATTTTATCTCGCTCTTTCCATCTACCACTATAGGATTAATTTTACATGTTACCCAGAATGGGGGGGGGGGGGCAACTGCTCCCCTAAGCCACCGCCCCTGCACTAAACACATTTTTTTTGCGATCACAACAGCCCCTCTTTGTGCCTGCAGTGAAGGTTGATGACTCGCTCATCTTCGCCGTGCCCCTTCCAGGTAGTCGACTACTACGCGGACCCGGTGTCTGGGTACGTGGCGGACGTGCACTACGTGACCTCAGCGGGCCCTGCCGTGCTCGGACCGGCCTTCCTTACCCTTCCCCCTGACACACCGGCCGTGCCCCGGCGTCCGCGGCCGGACCGGCCGGCGGGGGAGTCCCGCCAACGGTCTGTACGCCCCCAGCCGGCCAGGCCGGCGGAGCGGCCGCGCGGGTACCAGGGTCCTGGCTCCGCTGACGGCTCCAGCCAGGGGCCCGGTTTCACACGTCAGGGCCCAGGTCTGGGCGGCCCAGCAGAGCGGCCCGATTTCGGCCTCCGAACGCGCTACACTGGCGGTGAGCCGTCCACGCGCGTCACCCCCAGGCCACACCGCCCACCCGGGTACACCCCTGGGCTCGTCCCCGAGCAACCAGGCGTGCCGCCGAGAGACGGAGCTCTGCCTCTTCCTCCCGACCAGCGAGGTCCGCAGGGCGCGTTGTGGTCCTTCCGAGTGGGTCCAGGCCGCTGGCTGGGGGAGCGGCCGGTGTCGGAGCGTCATCCGTCGCCGCCCTGGCCAGCACTCCTCGAGCCGGCATCTGCCAGCGAGTCTGGGAGAGAGCAATCGCCACAGCTCAGGGTTCCTCCGGGCCCTCCGCGGGGTCCGCCGCCTCGGTACACTGGCCTCGCGGGCGCCCCTTACGACTACGCTGGAGGCGCGGGGCCTGCCCGCCCGATCCCAGACGGAGCCGCGGAAGGCGCGCCCGGAGGCTGGGGCTGGAAGGTACCGGACCGCTGGCGGCTGGACCACCTGGCCCGGACCGGACCGCAGGACCAGACGCCGTGGACCGGCGGGGCGCGGGTGGCGACACCTACGCCGGACTATGTGTACGGACCAGGTGACGGTCGGCGTGTGCCCGGACGCTGGGAAGATATGACGTCACAGCTTGAGCGTCCTGCGGGGGAGCGAGCCGCGACCGTCCTGTCGAGCGAAGAGTACCCAGGTACCGCACCTGGCGCTCCCCTCGGTGCGCAGCACGTCAGGGACACGCCAGATCTTGCTGCAACATCACCACCACCTGCCGCAGCTACGCCGCATACGATGCTCGACTTGGAGGACGTCGAAACAGACATCGATGCTGGCAATGTTGAGAACGGCCACACGGATGTAGTATGGGACTCACGTCGTCTGTCCGAGAGGGACCCGAACCGCGCTTCCTCATCGCCGTCTCCTCCGACCTCTCCCCCGTCGCCAGGAACATCCATGGTCTCCGTCGGCCCGCTGCGTGACGGATCCGCTATCAGCGGGGCAAGACCACCTCACCTGAACTCTGGCCTCGACTCGGCCACCACTGTCAGACCGTTTACTTACCTACCGACGCTGCCGGCGGCCGTGTTTCGTCACGTGACGCCCGCGGGGCAGAACCAAATCGGGGACAGGGTCGTGGTGGGTCGACCCCGACCGAACGACATCCAACGCTGGGGGGTCGAGGGGCTCGATGTCGACGGCGTGCTGACGGGGACGTTGGCGGGTGAAGCGGTAGGACTTCGACGAGGGGATCAAGGGGAAGATGCGCTGGGCAGGCTGTCGCAGAAGGCGGGGGATGAGGCTGAGGCGAGGCAATTTGTGATTATTCCAGGAGATGGAACCACCTCGGCTACACGAAGTTCAGACAATAATGTGGACAACGGTGTTAGGATTGTCGGTGCGTTTACAACAACGCCCTATACCCTATCATCTTCCATGTTCTCAACGAGATTCGCAGAAAGACAGACTGAACCTCCCGCGGAGCGTTCAACTTTGGACGAGAAGGGCAACGAGTCAAATGAGCGAAAAAGGTTTAGGGAAGTTGAAACGATCACTGGAAATGGGCATAACCATCTTCAGAAACGTCAGGAAAGTCATCAGAAACTGCTGAATGAAAGCAGAAGCCGATATTGTGATCACCATGGAAGTAATGCAACAAAGATCGGGGAAAACGCCACCGTTAGTACTGACCGATTGGATGGATGCAAGGATTACCAGACACGAGTTCCATTGGAGCACTCTGGGACAACCCACGAAAGCACACCAGTGAATGGCGCGGAACAGACACGAGGCGGAAAAAGGTTCAAAGCTGCTAAAGGGACAAACATTCCACCTGCGCGAAAGGTTACAAAACATTCCACTGAGCATAAGCCACCTGAAGCTGTTCAAAATCTAACCGAAACCAAGCGTGCTGACCACGACCCGTTCGCAGCCCGGGGTGTGAAAGGTAAGAGGGCTCTCCTGCTCCTCCACACCACGAGGACGTCAGGGACGACAGCCGACCCATCTCAACCGGGCACAGCGCTCACAGATGCCCCTTCCACCACAGCACAGGCGCCATCTCGCAGTCGCCTCTCGGTACCCCGCGGTCTCGGCGCACGCTTCAGGGCCGGCACCCGACGGCACGCCCTGCGCGTCTCTTCTAGAGCACCGGGCCGCGTCTTCAGCACGGCCGGCACGGCCCGGCCGCGGCGCCCCACCAGCCGGGGCGGGCCGCCCGCCGCCTCTCGCCAGACCACGACCCGGCCCGACTTCACCACGCGCCCCCCAGAGGATGAGGTCACCACGTACCGGCCAGAATTCGCCGAGTATATGAGCCTGTTCGCCACGGGCGGGTCTGCCGGTGTGAGCGCGGTGGACGGCGCGGGCTCGGAGAGCGCTTCCTCGCCGGAGCGGGCCGCGCAGTCCGCACGTGGAGCTGGAGGAGCCACTGGACCAGGCCTGCCGCTGGTCCCGTCCCGCAGCTCTGCGCCCACCTCCACCCCGGCGACGCAAGCCCCTCACGCTCGCGGGAGGGCGAGAAATAAGGCGCGAACCGGGGTTAAATCACACGGTGACGTCACCGCCCCACGCGTGACGTCACCAACAGCGCCTACGCGCGCTCCGTCATCCCCGCTGACGCCACGACCCAGCCGCTTCTCCAGTCGAAGACTGTTGGTGCCGGCAGCGCGGCCAGCGTCACCTGCGCGCCGACGCAGACCCCCCACAGCCAGGCCACCGCCAGTGCCGGTGACGCCGGCGCCAGCGCTGGCGACGTCGAAGCCAGACCTGTCGGCAGTGTCGCAGGCTGCGCCGCGTCGACCGCGCGTCTCCGCCGCCAGGGGCCGGCCCTTTGTGAACACGCTCCGCCCCGCGGAGGTCGCTCACCTGGACCTGATGTTCGGGCGGCGGATCGGGCCTCGCCAGACCCGCGCCTACGCCCCGACCCTCCGCCCGGTCAACCGGCCAGCCGGCGGCGGCTTCAGCGTTACGGAGAGGCGCCAGATCCTCCGGCGTCGCGGCCGGATCCTCAGCGACCGCCGCGAGGGGAAGGCGGTCCAGGAACCCCCTCCCTCAAAGGATCACCTCCTGGCCGAGACTGGCGAGGGCGGACCCGCGCGGCGAGGCGTCACACCATGGGAGGAGCGGCGACGACCGACACGCCTGCACGCCGAACCGCAACCAGGTGGGGACGAGCTCCGAGGGACCGGTCAGGGAAGGTCACACAAAGGGGTCCTCCCATTCCGCCCCAGCAGGAGGAAGGCGACACGGGCAGAGGCGCTCAACAGGGGCGGCGCCCACAGAGCGCATCACGGCAGGTCGCTGGCGGGAGCGTGGGCAGCGCCGATCGCAGCGCACCCTAGCACCAGACTCCGGCCACCGCCGCCAGGGCGGCGCCACCCGCAGGCGCGGACCGTTCTCGGGCGGCGCACTCTAGCCGTAGAGGAGCCGGTGCCTTCATCTGCGGTGCCCCCGCTGGAGCTGATGAAGACGACGACCAGCACGACGTCGGCGCCACCGTCACTGCGCTGGCCCGGCCCGGCCAACGCCGGCTACATCCAGAGCGTGCACTGGATCCAGCGCTTCCTCCCGCTGTTCCAGAACGCCGAGAGGCGGCCCAGGGCGCTCCCGGTCCCGCGTGCCAGCTGAGCGCGTGGCCCGTGTTTGTAAGTGGCTCCGGTTGATAGAGCACCTCCGTCAGTGCCGGGTGTGCAGCGGTCGGTACCGCTTGCTTGTGAGGTAGCAGAAGCTGAGTCCGAGATCACCTTCATATTTCGGCCGAATCGCACACACACGCCCATGTTACTGTGTCCACGGCGAGTATATTGCATCAATACACTGAAAAATACAATGGACAATCGCAATCGTAAGGTTCGGGGACCGAAGAGGCCAATGGGTTACACTAAAACAGCCGAGGTCAGCACTGTCATAAAGCAGGGTCGTACGGCTGGCACGGCAGAGTTTGTTGACCGTAACGGGGAGCCCATCTATGCTAACAGCAACAGACCCCCTTCGAGAGCAAACACACGAACAAGGCCAGCCCTGGCCGGGCGGCCTAATCGATGCCCGCCTGATTGGTGTTCGTGAGATGGCGTCTTCTGACCGAGATGCCATTGGGCGGGCACGCAGGCCACCACCACCGAGACACATACCCGATACGATATTAGCAATGCCGATGTTACAAAATGAGAGGGAAGCTGGCGTCCCGCCGATGAAAACGTGACCAAGCATACAAAATGATACCCCTCAGCCGTCAAAAGATGGTACGCATAGTTACTTCCCTCTCCTGAATTTTCCACCACCACCACTGGCCTTCGCCTTTTTGTTCGATGCAGACTTCTTGTCGTCGGCCTGGGGACGCACCAAGCAGGTGCCGTTAAGGACAGACGCGAGAGGACACAATGCACGTGCAAGAGGAGAACTAACGACACCGGCGCGACAATGCTCGGACGTTAGCGACATGCTCCGCGTCAGCTAACAGAAACATCTTGCATGTAAGCGCTCTCATCCATTCATACCTCTCATCACGCAGGCTCCTATGTGAAAAAAACTCAGGACGACCTGAGCACACACACCAAGACCATTGCATCAAACAGCACAGAACTGTCAGCTGTCCCAGTGTGGCTCCTACACAGGCCGCACAGACGGCTGTAGACGCCGGCCCCTCCTCCACATAACCGTCTCCCACGCCGGCCCCTCCTTCCACATAACCGTCTCCCACGCCGGCCCCTCCTTCCACATAACCGTCTCCCGCGCCGACCCCTCTGTTCCACGCGACCGTCTCCCACGCCGACCCCTCCTTTCTACATGACCGTCCCCCACGCAGGCCCCTCCCTTCCACGTAACCGTCTCCCACGCCAGCCCATCCCCTCCACATAACCGTCTCCCGCGCCGGCCCCTCCTTCCACATAACCGTCTCCCACGCCGGCCCCTCCCTTCCACGTAACCGTCTCCCACGCCAGCCCCTCCCTTCCACATAACCGTCTCCCACGCCGGCTCCTCCCTTCCACGTGGCCCGCAGCACGTGCCGCCGCCGTGCGCTCACCTTGCGTTTGCCGGCGCCGGGGCTGGGCAGCACCTTGAAGAACGAGTCCAGTCGGCCCTGTGTGGTGGTGTTGCGCGCCTTGGCCAACTTCTTGGCGCCGTTACGGATGCGCTCCTCGCTGAAGCCCTTGTCAGAGCACATGAAGGCCACCAGGGCGTCCTCATCCGGCTCCACCCATCTCAGCTGCCGACAACGCCAGACAGTCAGAGGCCGCACCGCCGGACAGCGGCAGAGAGCGACACACCGGGCCAGAGCTCAGACCAAGGCCACGGGACGCCCGAGCAAGCGAGAGGACCGGCCGGCCGAGAACCTTTCCCCGTGGTCTGAGTACGGACCGATTATGGACACGGGGGGGGGGGGGGCAGGGGGAGGGCACCTCAGTAAGCAACAACACGGCGTGATCTCAGAAAAGACGAAGGTCAGGAACGAAAAACATAAATATTTCACGGCAGCGTTGCAAGTGCGATAAAGCAAGAGACGCGCACCAGTGTTTCTAAGGCGACAGTCGGCGGGCAGGGAGCTAACCAGCGGCTAAATACAAACATGTTACGGCGGAATGCCGGTGAGCACCATACACAGGAATGCTACGGATGGTAAGCACTCGGCGAGTAAACGAGCACATCCAAGCCGTCTCGAGACCAATGCAAGTTCAGAGCTGCCTATAGGAACATCCTGAGGTCCCACACCAATAGGCTGCGAACATCACTGGACTCTGACCATGACCGAGAATGAAACAAAAACCTGCTGGGCGACAGCCGCGCTGATCTGCTTGCAAACATACCGGCTGTAGCATTGCACATAAACAAGCCATGCTGGCCTCACTGATCACACAGTATCTGTTTCAGTCAACCGTGGCATCGAGATTGCAGCAGTCAGCATGTGTATGTTGCATTCTCTGACGACATCTCACACCAGAACATAATCCAACCACCCAAACAGAACATGATTCTGCTCGACAATCAGCGTTTGAACGGCAACCGATCACGTGCCGCAGCGTCACGATAGACGCCTCGGCGCGGCGCAGTACAGCGGATAGACAGGATGACCCGACGCTGGGCGACTTCCTACACGTAAACTTACAGTCCACGAACCGCGCTTGATTGTCTCGTATTCAACGAACGCACTTTGCAACTCATCCATCCACCGCTGACCTTGCCCCACATGCCATCCCCCCAACAGCTGAAGTCAGGTCATCCCAAGGTCCCGCGCCAACAGGAGTCGCTAATTTTGTCCTCAAAGTATGAGACATAACACCTCGTGTCAAGTCACAATGTGTGAAGAAGTGGAGATGAAAGTGAATACCGAGAGCCGATTCAGGTTCGACATTCTCCACTCACATCTCCGTACTATACTTTACAAATATTCTTTCCAAAATATACCCAAACGACTTTTCACTATAGCACAGGCTGCGCCATTTTCACACAGCCGATGCACCTAGCTGGCTCGACGTGACAAGGTGCATGTTTTTCTCCTTTAATGCTTTAATTTGTTCCGCCCCTTTCGCTACATCGCACGGAGGCACACAGGCGTCATGTCACCTGATGGTGACATGGCGCCTGCGCCCCGGCCCCGTCCCGCGCCTACCCTCGCACCATCCTCCCACCGGCGGCGCCTCCCGTATCTCATGGTGACATGGCGCCTGAGCCCCGGCCCCGTCCCGCGCCTACCCTCGCACCATCCTCCCACAGGCGGCGCCTCTCGTATCTCATGGTGACATGGCGTCTGCGCCCCGGCCCCGTCCTGCGCCTACCCTCGCACCATTCTCCCACCGGCGGCGCCTCCCGTACCTCATGGTGACATGGTGCCCGCTCGCTCCGGCCCCGTCCTGCGCCTACTCTCGCCCATCCTCCCACCAGCGGCGCCTGCCACGCCTGCAGCTGCGCCGCCGCTCACCTCCAGTTGGGCGCAGTCGGCCACGTCTGGCTGCAGGAAGAGCCGGCGCGCCTCGGCGAACGGCCAGTCCTCGGGCACGCCATACTTGGCCCGGTCCAGGTGCTGCAGGATCGCCTCGATGGAGCGGTGCTTCTGCATCAGCTCGATCGCCCGCTTCGGACCGACGCCGCGGATCGAGTCGCAGTAGTCGCAGCCCATCAGGATGCACAGGTCGATGAACTGGATCCCAAACGGAGGGTGACGTCATGCGCGACGGGTGACGTCACAGTGACGATGATGCCCGAGCGACGCTCGCACAAAAGGAGATCAGGCCGCACGTGCGGAAGATTACGCTATTGTGTCGCTGATAAGTTCCCACGCGGAAACAGCTGCCGCAGGTACTATGGCAGCATCGTGGAGCGTTCCGAGATCAAAGACATTAGCCATTGCAATGGTGTCATTCGATGACTGCGATGATGAGTTCTGCTGCAGATTTTTGCAGCTTTTGCGACAATTCATGTCACGCAAGCGTCAACGTGGTTTAACCCACTTTTACATCACATCAAGAAAACACAATGCCCGATGGTATAGAAACGAACACAATAACTTCAATGACTTTAAGACTTCATTATACTTTAACATACTTAAGATATGATAAACAGTAACATACTACGATATACTTCAATGTCGGCAATGGCACGTTCACACGGGATTATTCTCGCAACAGGCCGGCGTCACTCGTCCGTCAACTCGTCACGAGTCCCCATGTCCGACCTCGTCCTGGCTGAGGCCCGACTCTTCCAGCACGCCGGCCAGGTGGAACTCCTTGATGGGCATCTTGCGCGCCTCACTGAAGGTCATGTGACGCAGCAGCACGCTGGAGCCGAACGTGAGCGCGTCCATGTCCTCGGTGGCCGTGGCGTACACGCGACCTGCCTTCACCAGCGCCGCGCACTGTGCCTCCGCCTCGCATGGCGCCTGCGCGAGCACAGTGACACCGCAGTGAGACGTCGGAGGGGCGCCTGCAAGGCGTCACGTCCACAGCTCTCCGTCCGCACGGCGATGTCACGTGATCGACACAACAGTAACACACGCGACAACGACCAGCTCGTCGAAGAACACAGCTTATGCGACCCCTTCAGCCCGGAATGGAAGAAGATGGCCGGGACTCGCAACTGGCCTTTTACAGCACAAAGCCCGGGTCAACCGGCCTTCTGTAGCACAAAGCCCGTGTCAACTGACCTTCTAGAACACAAAGCCCGGGCCAACTGGCCTGTAGCACAAGGCCCGGGCCAACTGGCCTTCTGTAGCACAAAGCCCGGGCCAACTGGCCTTCTGTAGCGCAAAGCCCGGGCCAACTGGCATTCTGGAGAACAAAGCCCGGGCCAACTGGCCTTCTGTAGCGCAAAGCCCGGGCCAACTGGCCTTCTGTAGCGCAAAGCCCGGGCCAACTGGCATTCTGGAGAACAAAGCCCGGGCCAACTGGCCTTCTGTAGCACAAAGCCCGTGTCAACTGGCCTTCTAGAACACAAAGCCCGGGCCAACTGGCCTGTAGCACAAAGCCCGGGCCAACTGGCCTTCTGTAGCACAAAGCCCGGGCCGACTGGCATTCTGGAGAACAAAGCCCGGGTCAAAAGAGCAATGCCGCTGGCTTCAGAACACACTCGCCCGACCGCCATCCCCACAGCCCGCGCCAGCACTCGTAGCCCCGCCCCTCCGAGCAGAAGCCAGCGAGGTGTGGTGGCGCCCGCAAATTCGCCTTCGATGGTCCCGCACTCGACTCAGAGCTGTCAAACGACCACAACCTGACACGTGAACCTGCCAGGTGATGCGCTTCGCACCATGCATAATGCCCTGGACTTGTGCTCTAGCTCGTTTGAAAATAATACCATTGGTCGTTCTCCAAGAACGATAACACATTTGCTGCGCCGTATTCCCGTTTAGAGTCGTGACTCTGCGTTCGTCTGCACGCCACGGAATACGTGATCGCCAACGACAGAGCGTCTAGCAGCGTAATTGCTTACAAGTATTGCGGAAGTGGACTGAGTTGAGGGTCACCATATTTGTACAGCAGTGAAATTCCACAATGTCTGACCCCGATGTGCCACTTCCACTTCGGATATATCAGATACTTTCTACCTATTGCGACACCCCTATTGCTGTGGAACTGCACTCGAAAACCTCGTCTATCTCTCACAGACAACCGATGCAGAAATCCCTATCGGCGATTAGCCTGCGCCTGGGGATCGATTTTAACCACAGCCGTCGCGAGGTCACAGGGGCCACCGACCGCGCATCACTGCAGAGCGGACGGCCCGCCCGAGGCTAGGCCGTTCCCGCCGACTGACGCCATGCGGCGCTGCTGCTGCCAGACGCGCCGCAGCAGAGGAGACCGACCGCGCCGTCACTCCGCCCCGGACCGGCCCGGAGGCGGCCGCCGTCGGCCACGGACGGCAATGCCGCCGGACTGAGGTGCCGGCGACGCCACCCTAGGTGCCGCATGCGGTGCTCCGCCGGCCGCGGCTCACGCGACGCTGGGCCGAGCTCGGCTTCGGCTCCGACCGAGCCGAGACTCCGCCAGCTCACTGACGGAGTCTTACCCGTCTGGAAGTGACGACCGACGGCGGGGGCAAACTATCGCGCTCAGCTCACTGGAGCGAACATGAACACGAGCCGAACGGGCTCTAGCGCGCCGTGGATGAGCGCTAACGGGCGCTGAGGCTTGTTGAAATGACGTCTAATGACCCTACGCCTATCAAGCCGTCAGCTACCTTTTGGCCATGATGTGATTCAAAAGCTCCCGCGCTCAGTTATGACATTTATATGCTAAAGGACTCGTGGGGAGGCCCGTCTGTACATACTCGAGTCATATAAGAGTAATGACGATCCTAGGTGCGACTCATTTGCAAATGTGCTGGCGTATCTACCGAACGAACCGAACAGTCACTGCTGTGCTGTGGACTACGAGCAGGCCAATGCACCAGCCTGAGTGTGGAGCCGTGAGTAGTGGAGCCGTACATCACGTGTGCGAAGCGTTGACCATGTAGGTTCACTGCTAACCACGCGGGTTGGTGGGCGCAGGATCACGCTGGCTCCACTTAACGTCACAGCATTCACGCTGCAGTTCAACACCCTTGGCTTGACGAGAAGCGCAAGTCAAACCGACAACAGGGAAAAGGACTGCGTCCCCCTCGGATTAAAAAAATGTCGGTCACGATTTTCGACCACCACTACCCCACTGTACTTGTGAACACTTGATATTGGGGCATGGAACATTTCCAATCAGACAGACATGCATTGCTGGGCTAATCGCCAGTTTAGGCCGGCAATATGGCGCAACAGCTAGACTGACCTCGTAAGCCACGTTGATCATAGGTCGATCTAAAAACCAATGTCCATTTACTTCCTGACTGAAGTTGAAATCTACATCCCTCATACGCGCATCTAAAAACTGATGTACATTTACCTCCACGTATGGAATACCCATCAGCTTCAGCAGCTGTTTGCACTCGTCTACGTGCATTTTGGTGACCTTGACGAGCCTCCTGCTGAATTTGTCGATGTCCTGCTGGTTCCCTGCGGGCAGAGAGCCGGGGAATAAAGTGATCCGGCGATAGGCAAACGGTGGTGAATCCTCCGCACGGCAGCTGAAGACGCGGCGCCAGAGCGACGGCAAATGTGTGTGTCAGGGGGGGGGGGGAACATCGCGCGCCAAACTATCTATTCACATATTGGGCGCGCGTCTCGGTTTGCTTCGCAGGCTGTCAAACTCTTAAGAGTAGAACCCCCCCCCCCCCCAAAAAAAAAACAACAAGAAACCGCACCATATTCTCGAGTTGTTCAAAACAAAGTGGGATGCGCACGTAGTCTCTTCTGTCGGCTGTGACGTACCGCGGTGAACGCAGACGCAGCTTTTCGATTACCTCACCCTGCACATTTGTCTCCGATTTAAACATTCGTTATCTCGCTATCCATTGCAGCACACCGCACACCGGCCCAGCCAGCGAAAGTCCTCACTGCTTACGATCCCAACGGAGCGCCACTGATTGATACACTCCCCGTCCGCTATCCGCACTCCCACCCTTCCTACAGGCATCCACCCTACATATATGCCCTCACGTCGTCACCTACAACCCGAAAAACGTCATCTTCATCATTCTCTCTCGGTTGTTTTTATGTTTATTGGTGTTGTATGGTGCACCGACCGCATGGCCACTTTGCGCCCCAAAAACAACACTCACCCAAACCTCCCCGCTTTATGTCCGGTGGCACCTATGGCTAGCCCCCTCACCGATACCGTTCCAGTTGCGCCCTGCCACTTACCTCCTCCGACCTTCCAGTTGCGCCCTGCCACAACTCTCCCGCGCTTCATACGCATCCAACCACTTCCTCAGTTTGCGAGAGAGCGTTCTCGACCGTCTCGGCCTCGCACGCCTCCATTGCCATGCCCAGTGGATGCTCACCCTGCTCCTCGGCCTGGGAGAGCGCCTTCTGCGCCGTCTCGCGCCGCTCTGCCCGCTTGGCCAGCTCTCCACCCTTCATCTCGGGCGGCTTGCCGTCGAACACGTACACCGGCTTGATGCCGTTGTCCACCATGCGGATGGTGCGGTAGAACATGCCCATCAGGTGGCTGAAACACCGGACGCACGACGAATCGGTGGGAGGGCCGGCCGCACGGCGGCACCGTGTGCGACCGGGAGTAGACTGGGATCCAACACCTGAACACCGACCCGTAACGTATCACTTGTGAACTCCAATGCAAGACGATACCAGAAATACGACACAGAACCGGATCCAAAATTAGAATAAAGTGCCGAAAGGTGGTGACCTTGGGCGGGCACGTAAAAAGCACCCACGTGGGCCGAGTTGAACAACGTGTGGGCGACAAGTGTGTGTGTGTGGTGTACAGGGGAGCGGCGCGGCGCCGCCACAGGTGGCCCCGGGCCCAAACTGCCGTGTCATGGCACCCAGAACCCGGCGTAGACGGGTCACACCACTGCCGGCCACCGGCAAAAACGCAACGGCCCTTCTCGGAGCGCGCACTCCGCCGCCCCGTTCATCGCCAAAGACCATGCGAGGAACCGAGAAAAACGTATGACTGAAAGGCATGCGCATTATGCAGGATCAGCATCCATGATAATAATATCTGCAGAGTTCAATTCAACTATCCATTTATACAGATAATTTCGCAAGTAATTCAGCCTTTCGCACGTCTTTAACCTGGCTTACTACGCCCCAATCCAGCAACACGTTTTGTAGAAACGGTTCACTCCCCCGATTACACCTCAGTCACGCTGAAAGCGAAAGCAACGAGCGAAATCCGTCCGCGAAAGAAAGGCGAAGACGGGGTGGGTGAGAGGGGCGGCTCACCTGGTGGTCTCGCCGTCGGCCGAGGTCAGGTTAGCGCCTTCTTGTCGAACGGCCACCAGGAACTGGTACATGCACATGCTGGCGTCAACGGCCACCTTCCTGCCTGCGCGAGACGGGTGGGCGTCACACGCGGGAGACGGACCGGCGTCACATGCGGGATGACGGCGTAGGAACAGCGGCCGAAATGTCCTGGGGAAACCTCCCATAGGCGAACTTATAACAAAACACAGGGCCAGCACCACATAGCGGATACACGACTATGTACGGAGTACACACAGTCGGGATCCACGGGGAGTATGTAAAGGCGGACGCTGGCCGGTCAGTTGGCGCGCTGCGGTGTAACCCAGACTGCACGATGAAAATGGATATTGCAACAGACAAAGACAGAAAAAAAACAACGGGATGTCTGCACAAAACAGCGCCAGCAGTAATGATTCAGCACTGATATATAAGCTACATAAACTGCATGTCTCGGTCGAAACATCATCCACCAAATGGAGAGAAGACTGCAAGGACAGCATTACAAGACATCCAATACTCAATACGCGAATAGCAAACGGTTCACAAAACTCACCACTGGTGAGATCAAGCAAACTAAAATATGCCGAAATAATGACCAAAAGAGGAGAACTCACCAGGCGAGTAATACCAATGCAACAGTGAAAGATCGCGATCGTTCACATGACGTACCCATCTGAAAGGGGAAGTCTGATCCGCGCGTTAAACACACTACTTGTTGATCGAGCTAAGCTGCGGCCAGCACGCCTAACGTGCGCGCGCCGTAAGCGCACCGTATGTTTACCAAACCCACAGCTCCACACCTGCATGTCATCGGCCTATTGCATCAGTTCGGCCATCGCAAGTCAATGCACGAAGCGTCCATCTGTGTCACCTTTCCCGAGGCCCGCGCCCGGCGCCAACCCCACATGCCGGATGTATTACCAAGCCTCACACGCGACGGCCGAATACGAGGGGCTTTGCCTTCACGGTTGTTGTAAAAATCCGCCCCGAGTCCGTCGACAGTGCGAACACATGCCCCTCAAAAGAACGAATGCCCTGCAAACATGCGCTGCCGCCTCGCCGCTGGCGGGGCCACAAAGCCCTGTTTCAAGTCACGAGTACCAGTCAGGGCCAGCTGATGCAAACGGGCGCCATGACGACGCGTGTTTGTTGCACCGACGCCGACGCCGCCCGGCACGCCCTGCTTTCGACGTCCGCTCCGACGGTGGCCCGCCTCCGACAGCTGCCCCGATGCGATCCAGTACCGGCCCTCGACCGTCTGTCGCGCTGGAAGCCGATGTCGCGGGCCGACACAACGGACGCGCCCCATGCGCCCTGTTTGGGAGCACCGCATGGTCTCCATCACAGGTGAGTGTACCGCACGGGTCGCTGACGTGCAGACCAGGCATATATGAACATACCGGATGGGTCGCTGAGGTGCGGACCGGGCACACATGAGTATATCGGACGGGTCGCTGATGTGGCCAGGCATACAACACGATAGTATGTTTCTGAGACACCGTCGTGCACATAAGGTATTTCGGATCTTCCATCACAACCAATTTCCAACGCGCCTCTTGTTTTACGGTATACTGATCACGCAGTAGAACCACTACATATGCTGTGATATTCTAGAAGAACGCGAAATTTAACCAGGTGGCGGGCTAGATACTATTCGCTCGGTGGGGGTCAATTTGACCCCCATGCAATCTCGGGAACTAAGAAAGCTAGAGACACCAGATTCACAGGGTGTGTTGACATGCACGTGACCTTACGAAGGTCAAAGGTTGAGGTTCCCAGGTAATGACGTTTGTGTTAAATAACGTCAAACAAGGTCAAATTCCAGGTTGGTCTCCAAAGTACCCGCAGAGCCTACGTAACTGTTTCTAAGCAAAAAGTAACATGTTCACTTAAGGTCAGTGGCCTTGTTTGACCTTTCGAAGGTCATGATGACCAAAATCATACAAGCCTTCTCTGAGTTTTGCATTTGAGTAAGCGACAAATACTACGCCAGGCAGTATGTTCCTAAAAACAAAACGTTGACCTGGGTCATTTTAGGACAATGACCTATTCTGACCTATACGAAGTCCATGAAAGATGTAGAATGCGGTTCCTCCTATCAACAAATTCGACATGAGCAGAAGAAACTATCTCGTACAGCAAGCCCTTAGGCAATAAACCGGGTTGGTTCTGACCTTGGTCTGACCTTCATACCTGAAGTTAGGTCGATGTAATTTACTCATTCAACTGCTGTGTTGCTTAAGAAAGCATCTCACAGATGCATGGCTTCGTCTGACACTCCGTTGTTGCATCAGGCTGGGCGATTCTCTAGAAATCGCCTTCACTGAAACCATGGCCTGAATTTTACCTGTCGTAGGTCAGCACATTTACAAGGTATATCTAAGTTTTTGACACCAAACGATCCGCTATTCAATTGTCGACAGCCATGCAAAATTTGGCGCGGCTACGCAGCACCGTTCGGAAGCTATTCTGGAAAAACCTTCGGGGCAGTTTGAACCCAAACCCGAGCGCGTGTCAATGGTGCGTGATAAAAACCTCGCTTTTCACACAATGTGACATACTTATAACAGTTAATGTTGGCTAACCCGGCGAGAAGGTCGTGGTGGAATCAATTGCACAACCTTACAGCGCCCAACACAGACGTGGTCCATTGACATGGCTATGACAACACCTCGCCAAAAGTTGGGAACTCCCAATCAAGGTATGCCGCCTTCACTTCACTTGGGGCCTGCCCATGCGGCAGCAATGACAAACTTGACTGCTGTTGATGCCTTACAAAGGCGCATTTTGAACGCTGTCACACATCACAGATAGCCTACGGTCGGTCAAGAGGCTCAGCTCGGCGCACACGTGGGGTCCGGCGGGCCTCGCACGTTGAGGACCGCGGGCCTCGCACATGCAGGGCGGCAGGCCTGGAGGACACAGGAGGACGGCTGGTCTCCCACGTGAAGGACGACGGGCCTCCCACGTGAAGGACGGCGGGCTTCCCACGTGGAGGACGGCGGACCTCGTACGTGGCGTCCGTTCCTATCAGGCGGGCGGCGGCCGGGCGGAGGCCGGGCGGCAGTCACGCGCCGCCGTTAGAAGCCGTGAGTCACTGGCCGCGCTCGGAAATCGGAAACGGCAGGGCAACAAAGGGACATTTCCAGGAACGACGGCTGCAGGCCGCCGGGCTGCAGGCAGCCACGCGGAATCAGAAGCAAACAGCCAATGGGATGGCAGAGGAAGCATCGACGAAGGCAAAACAGATAACAAGGGATGGCAAGGGAAAGAAATATAAATAAAACCTGAGGATTCGCAAAGCCTTGTGAATGTACACCTGGGAATGGGGCGCGAAAGGGAGGTGGCAAGGATACCTCCCTGAGGATTTCAGGACATAACCATGCCAACAGGAGGCCACAGAGAACAGCGTCAGAAAACTACATCGCAAATCACCGTACTCAAAGCATGCAGGAGACAACGTCTGTCCTATAGGAGGCCCCGGATGACTACCAGGTCCTACTGGTCGACAGCAGGCCTCAAATGATCCAAAGGAGGTCCCTCATTAGATGCACAGGAGGACCAATGAAAACACAAGAAGCACCGCCTGCCCAAGAAAATGTCTCGACTAAAAAGGCCGGAGGACCCACCACACCAAAATATTTTCCTTCATTGTACACACGTGACCAGAAGGTCTCTTTGAGAACAAGGGGGGAAATCTGGGAATGATTTTGACATTGGTTGGAATTTGTGGCTCCCGGATGTGTTCAGCAGGACCCCTGACAACCCTGCCCGCTTGCCGAGAGGTCAGTGTCGCCGTCCTCACCATCCGTCTGCACCAAACAGGTGGCTGCTCTCTCGTGTTCGTCGCGTTCGAGAGCCCAGTGTCAGCAAACAATGGTTTTATCTCCACCCTTGGCATTCCAAGTCAACACGTTGACAGGAGGATATAGGAAGAGTCTGCCAGCGACACGTCCTCAGTTCCAGTGCTAGAAGCCACAGGCTGCCAGTCATACGCGCAGACCAACACCCAATCTTAGGCATTATCAAAGAATCACTTAACCAATCCATTCCTATAAGGGGCAAGAGAGCGAGTACGGAACAAAACTACTTGGGGTTGCTCATGCTGCCGAAATCGCCACACCCAGGGCGAAATCCATACCCATTTTGATGACACCCATTTTAATGACGAGCCCAAACCTCACCATCGAAGTGGGTATGCTGAGGCAATGAGCCACCATAGAGCCAAGACCAGCACTCCATAACAAGTTAAGGACGGGTGAGAACACCCCGCACTAGGTCAAATTCTGCTCCTCGACTGACCAGATATTCCCCATACTCCCAACCACCCACAGCCGGGATATCAAATATTACAGCCGGCTTGCTACATCTTTATTGTCGACTTTCCCTCTGAACACAAGAACACCTAAGCCTGAGGAAAAATCGGATCGCGGTCGGTCACGTCTTTGGGGTGCACCTGCCCCATCACTCTAATCAAGACTAAATATGCTCGAACTCCACGAAGCTTATGTAAGCTTGTCATGTGGAGCTCCTAGCCTTATTCCACGAGCCCAACAAGATCACCTGCCACCCGTCTGTCACAGGCAGTCATTACCACCCACAGAAACATTCGAGATCAGCTTCAAACCGGACCTCTCGCCTTCACGACCGCAAAATAGCGGCTCCACCAGGGCGACCACCACAACCTTAGCGCCGATGAAGTGCAACTTTCAACCGCAGCTGCCCGCTTCCACCCACGTAGCAACAAGCCTGAAAGACCCCACGACGGACGTTCTCAGCGCTGCTGATTCAGCAACTCCTACAACGGTGCGATTGCGGAGAACGAGGAGCCCATGACCACAACGTCGCGATCATGGACCGGCGCAGTTCCAACGTGCCGTATCGCAGTTACGGGGGGACTGCTAAGTAGAGCAAACAGGATTTCATTACAGGAACCGCCAGGACAGGTGGTCCCAGAGACTGACGCAAGTCGGATGAGTGGTACTTGCACAGCAAACTTTGAAACCGTCAATTCAGCCGTTATAACCCGCCCCCTAACAAAGAACATACCGGCTGCGCTGATGATAGCCGCAGCCACCAGAT